TACCATTTAAGAAACCACTGCCTAATCCAAGGTCATGAAGATTTATTCCTCTGCTTTCTTCTACGATTTTTGTAGTTGTAGGGCATGTGGGTGGCCCAGTTAACCATCTAGCTCTTGATTTTGGGTCAGGGCTTAATCTTTCGGTTCTTGGGTTCTAGCCTTGCATGGGGCTCTGTGCTGACAGAGTGGTGACTGCTTTGGATTCTCTCTTCCCTCTCTCTGCCCCTCCTGCACATTTGGATGTGTGCTCTCTCACTGTCTCTCTAAATAAATAAATAAATAAACAAACATTGAAAAAAAGATTTATAGTTTTAGCTATTACATTTAGGTCTGTGAGCCATTTTCTAGTCATGTTTTGTGCATGGTGTGAGGTAGGGGTCCGGCTTAATTCTTTTGCATGTGGACACTCCGTTGTCAGTATTGTTTGTTAAAACGATCTTTTCTTCTTCCATTGAATGGTCTTACCACCCTTGTCAAAAATCAATTGACCAGGGGCACCTGGGTGGTTCAGTCAGTGAAGCATCCAACTTCAGCTCAGGTCATGATCTCACGGTTTGTCGATTCAAGTCCCACGTCAGGCTCTGTGCTGACAGCTGTGCCTGCAGCCTGTTGCAGATTCTGTGTCTCCCTCTCTCTCTGACCGTCCCCTGCTCATACTGTCTCTCTCTCTCTTTCTCTCAGAAATAAATAAAACACTTAATAACTTAAAAAAGTATATTTTAAAACATCAATTGACCATATATGTATTTCTTTATCCAATGTATTTCATTGCTCTATATGTCCATCCATATAGATACCAGTACCACAGTATTTTGATGACTATACTTTTGTAATTGAGTTTCAAAATTGAGGTATGTGAGTTCTTCAGCTTTGTTGTTGTTGTTGTTGTTTTCCCAAGATTATTTTGGCTCACCTGGGTCTCTCCCATTCCCATGTGAATTTTTAGAAGGCGTTTTTCTGTTTCTACTAAAAAGGCAGCTAGATTGGGATTGTGCCAGATACAAGGATTAATTTGGGGAGTATTGCCCCCTTAACAATATTAAGAGTTTCAGTTTTTTTTTTTTATTTTTTTATTTTATGATTTTTTTTTTATTTTTTTTTATTTATTCCTAGGAGAGAGAGAGAGAGAGACAGCGTGAGCAGGGGAGGGTCAGAGAGAGAGGGAGTCACAGACCGAAACAGGCTCCAGGCTCTGAGCTGGCAGTCAGCACAGAGCCCGACGCGGGGCTCGAACCCACGAACCGTGAGATCATGACCCAAGCGAAAGTCGGACGCTCAACCGACTAAGCCACCCAGGCGCCCCAAGAGTTTCAGTTTTTTTAAGATATCTTTTTTTAAAATGTTTGTTTTTGAGAGAGAGAGAGAGACAGTGTGAGTGGGGGAGGGGCAGAGAGAGACAGAATCTGAAGCAGGCTCCAGGCTCTTCCAACCTGTCAGCACAGAGCCCCATGTGGGGCTCAAACTCACTAACCGTGAGATCATGACGTGAGCTGAAGTCAGATGTCCAACCGACTGAGCCACCCAGGTGCCTCAGATGTACCAGTTCTTGAATGTGGGATACTTTCCATTTATTTAGGTCTTTTATTTCTTTTTTTTTTTATGTCTTTATTTTTTATTTTGAGAGACAGAGACAGAGAGCGAGCGAGGGAAGGGCAGAGAGAGAGAGGGAGGGAGACACAGAATCTGAAGCAGGCTCCCGGCTCTGAGCTGTCCACACAGAGCCCGATGCAGGGCTCGAACCAATAGACTGTGAGATTATGACATGAGCTGAAGTCGAACCCTTAACTGACTGAGCCACCCAGTGTCCCCAGATCTTTTATTTCTTTCAACAATGTTTTGTAGTCTTCAGAATATAAGCTTTACACAACTACTATTAAATTATTCCTAAATATTTTATTCCTTTGAAAAAAAATTAAGGGCTGTATTGTAAATGAAAGTCTTCATTTCATTTTCAGAATGTTCATTGCTAATGTATAGAAGTATATACTTTTTATATATTAATCTTCTAGCAGCATTGCTGAATAATTTTAGTAGTTCAAATAGTTTTTCTCTGGATTCCTTAGTATTTTCTATAGACCAGATCATATTATCTTTGACTGTATTACTTCTTCCTTTCCAATCTGGCTGTCTTGTCCCTTTTCCTTCCGTAATTGCCTTGGCTGGAACCTCTAGCACAGTGTCAAATAGAAGTGGTTAAGAGCAGACATTGTTAGGAAGCACGCTTTCAGTCTGTCACCATTAAGTATGATGGTAGCTGTGGATTTTTCATAGAAGCCTTTTATCAGATCGAAGACATTTCCTTCTGTTTCCAGTTTGTTGGATGTTTTTATCATGAAGAGGTGCTGGATTTTGTCACATGTTTCTTTTTCTCTGTGTCAGTTGAGATAATCGTGCATTGCTGGCCCTTCCGTTAGTATGCAGTACCTCACTGATGGGCTTTTCAGGTGTCACACCAGCCTTGCATTCCTGGTTGTAAGTCCCATGTAATCATGGTGTGTAATCCTTTCTTCATGTTGCTGGTTAGGTTTGCTAGCGTTTTGTTGATGATAAACTTTTAAGAGAAAAGGGTCAAATAAGTTGTACTGTATCACATGGGATATTGGTGTGTTTGTTTTTTAAGGGAAACCTATTTCCACATTTGATTATCTTTGATAGTGGAATTATGGGTGACTAGTTTTTCTTTGGTATCATTCTCTGTATGTTGTTGTTTGTTTGTTTATATTTATTTTTGAGAGAGAGAGACAGCATGAGCAGGGGAGGGTCAAAGAGAGAGGGAGATATGGAATCCGAAGACAGGCTCCAGGCTCTGAGCTAGCTGTCAGCACAGAGCCTGACGTGGGGCTTGAACCCACCAACTGTGAGATCATGACCTGAGCTGAAGTCAGATGCTTCACTGACTGAGCCACCCAGGCGCCCCTCTGTATGTTTTATAGTTCTGTAAAGGACCTTGATAATCTGGAGTCCAAGTTAGCACTGTGGCTGCACAGACGGGGATGCCGGTCCCGGCTAGGCCGGGAGGAGACGGGCACCTTCACACACAGTAGGCGGGTGTCAAAATGGCAGAGCCTTCCTGGAGGGCATCCTGGCACAGTGTGTCAGGACCCAGATATTTCTACATTTAGGAATTTGCCATAAGGAATATTTGGACAGCTGTGCCAAGATGTATGTTGCAGTGTTGAGCAGAAGTGTCAGCCAGCAGGATATGGGGCAGAGGGGATCATAGTGTTACTTGGGGATTTGGTTGTGTAATGTTTAGATACGTGCACTCTGCAGAATCAGGAAGGCTGCGTATCACACTGGGAAGATTGGAGGTGGTCTGGTGGTGGGAGTCCCTCAGGTAAGCTTTTCCTTTAGCTTCTGTGTTCCACTTTGCTCATTTAAAAAATACCTTTGTGAGGGGCACCCGGGTGGCTTAGTCGGTTAAGCGTCCGACTTTCGCTCAGGTCATGATCTCGCGGTTCGTGGGTTCGAGCCCCGCGTCGGGCTCTGTGCTGACTGCCAGCTCAGAGCCTGGAGCCTGTTTCAGAGTCTGTGACT